CCCTTAAAAGGAATGACGCCAATTTTGAATCACCCTGTATGTTGGTAATTCTTTAAAGGTGCCTCTAATTTGGTAAAGTTATATTTATTTTAAATAGTTAGATTCAGCACAGAATTTCAGTTTTCTCCCGTTTTTCAAGTAAATTGTTGGAACTCCAAGTTGGAAATGGCACCAATGATTAATTGAATTATCTGTATTGGAGGGATTCAAAAGTTTCAAATTCTAATAAAATGCATGAGTCTTGGTACATATAAGAAAAATATTGTAGTAATGATTTTTCGAAGCAACGCAATCCTAGATCCTCCATTGTAAATAATACGCGGTTTTATTAACTAATAGTTTTATTAACCAAACAAACATAATATTATTACGCAAAAAATAGGTTGCAACTGGTCCAATTTTGCGTTCATATTATGCGCGTATATTTGGCAAACTTGCCTGACAATTTCCACAGATATTATTCGCTATGGTGGATGTGACCTGATATTTTCGTTGCGTTCCATCAAATTAATTAAACTTTTTTGCTTTCAGCATTTAATTTTCCCTCGTTTGCTTGTATTGAAATTGATTGTGTTAGCTGATGTTGTGGCAAGGATTGCCTGGAAAATATCAGCCCATCACAATCAAAGGTAAACTATGGACTTGACTAATCCATTACATCCAAAATCCAACTGGCCTATTGCAATTCCTTCATGGAAATTGGTTTCATTCTGCACAAGTAAGCTCATGTCAATACACTAAGACTGAACAGAAAATATTAACAACAATAAAAATGCAAAAATTAATTTACATCAGCAATTACGAACAAAATGCTAATATTTATTGTAAATAAGAGATGTAATTCTCTAATTCATAAAGAATTTGAAAGACAAACATTTATTATGCAAATTTATTTTGCGGCATGCCGAATGTGGTAAATAACATACGATATAAAAGCGAAATGATAAGAAAGACGTGCTGTGTTAATTATCAGCTTTCGTTTTCCTATTGAAGACCTTTGGCGTCTACTGTCAATCACCCTGTACATATAAGGAAAAAACATAGTACGTATTTTCGATATAAATGTCCTGCAATAAATCGTTCAAAAATTCGAATAAAGTTCGCCATTTATGAAATGTAAAAGCGATAAGAGCGTCAACACCGCACATTCGTCAAGTTGCTTTAACCAGTGAAGTTTATTTGAAAACCCAGGAAACTATGAAGTAAAAGGTTTCACGCGTCTTATGCAGAACACTTCAGCAGAATAAAACTGTGAAGATTTGCTATGATGAGAGCTGTGCAAACAAAAGCATTACCACTTGAGAATCCGACTTGCTTATACTTCCGTATTTAAAGTTGCTAAGATTGTAAAGCGTTAATCACATTAAGAATATGTTCACATGAAATAGTTATACATACTGGCAAAGCCATTATTTTCCTGAAATTGAATTCTAGTTATAGCCGGTATGGTATATGGGGAAAATTACTTTGCATTAAAAATAACATTTTCCTATAATGCTATGTGCCATATCCACGTACTTTTCTCCTTCGCTGTTTTCATTTAGGCGTCGTCACGCCTTGAAAATGTATATCAAAAAAGTAATA